CAAATTTGAAGTTAGGATTCTATGCTGCATTAAATGATATGCAGCCTGGGGTCCCGCATGTGCCGTGCTTACACTAGGTGCGCAGACGGCTGGAGTTTGAGCCGAACTCGTTGTTTTTCGTTTTTTGATGTTTTTTCGAATGCAACAGATATTCTGTGCTTGTAACAGCAAAAAAGGGAAAAGAGAAGTTTGCGGAAAAAGGAGAAGGGGAAGTAGACTGATGTTTTTCAGGACTTATGAGGGCAATCTTTAGATATGAGTAGTTCGTCAAGTTGTACTATCTTATGATAACAAAAGAAACATGAAACAAGATGATTGGCAGACGAACGTTAGATTTCTTACTTCAAATGTCATTTCAATCAAAGCAACGGTCTGCTTTACAACCAAGGAAACGAGCATGGGGAATTGACACAGTGAAACCTACAATTTTTTTCCTGTGCATCGTTTTCTCTTTTACGTTTGAGTCAACAAAGAAGTGCTTTTTTTCCTAAATTAAAACGAATGGTTACCAATTTGGAAATCTTTCGCAGTAATTTCAAAGTTTGATCGCGTGTCAGTCAACAAAACATCTATGCCATCATGAACAAAGGAACTGATAATGCAGCATTCGATATCCGTTGAAGGCACAAATTTTATAACTAATTGGCATGCTGAGAACAGGCAGTTTTGCTTTATTCATAATGCTCATCTCTGCTGTGTAAAAAAACATGGAAATTGTTAGAGTTTTGCTTTATTTTCGTCTCAAAATTAATAAGATGCACGGAATAGATTGACGAGCATATTACGAATCACCGCAGCAGCTACATTTCGGAAATTTCTAACTTTTTATCGAATTAATGAATATAGAACAAATTCAAGAATCGAGATTTTGAATGATTGACCATCGAATAAATTCGAATGAAAATTTGAATGAACGAATACTGAATAAGATCAAAATGCACACACCAAATCTAGTGTTCATACATTGCCTGTCTGTTATAAACAGCTTTGTTTGTTTTAAGCACGTTTTCAGATTCCCGCGTCCCACCCCTCCCCTTTCCCTCTCCTGAGAATGGGTCGCAAAATTTTGAAAATCCTCTTGTACGGGTTATAAAAATGTGCAAGTGACTTGTTTACTTTTGCAAACAATTAAAGAATTTTCAAAAATTTTCAAAAAATCAAAGTCTTGTAAAAAGTTTTGGAGGCGTAACTGCCGCCACGTTCCCTTTGTCAAGATCTTAGGGGGTTATGAGCCAGCTGAAATTTTGAGAAGCACCCCAAGATAACTATACTTTTCACTACCTAAAGCTATCTGGCAATTCCGGTTACCATCCGCGATATTGTTATCATTGCTCCTACTAAGCCTGGAACGCGAATGTTGATAGCTGGAACAAAATTCTATTGTACTTCCGTTCCCAAATGCATATCCATTCAGCTTCTTTACGCCAGCGCAAAAACATATTTTTCCCAAACAGCCATCCCGCTCTTAACGCTTATTACTTCCTTCAGCACTTTGCTGTCTCTATGATTTCAACATTGGTCAGAACATAGTGCGCTACATCAACGTCATAATCACAATGTATCTGAGACTGTCCGCATTTTAGCATTACGTAGCTCGCTGACGCAATCCGTTCAAAAAAAATCAAAAACTTGCCCAAGCGTCAAACTTGTGACTTAACACCGTAACTAATACATAAGATGTTGTTTTGCAAGTAGTTTATGTGGATCGCTTCTCTTTGACGCTTACATGCTCAGCTTCGTTTATGAACCATTCCTCCTCTACAAATTATAACAATTAAAACACAGTGCCTGCTTGAAATGCCAGTGGATGAAGCGACCAAGACGAATTGAGCACGGGCGCGTCTGTACAGTGACTTAAGCTAGTAAGTTCAGCACATTGTCGAAGTGAAGCTTTTGAAAAGACAAGGTGAAGTATAGCTAAAACAATGGAATTCGTCTCCAGATTTTGAAGGCGAAGCAATTTATAAAAGTATGGCGTTGAAGTTTGTCAGGATAAGCTTCAAACAACGAACGAAATGGTACCATTACTCATTCGTATGCTCCGAGAAAATCGTGAGGGGCGGGACAGAAGATGCGAGGCAGCGAGAGAAAAGTGGAGGTGCAGAAGAGCAAAGGAGACCAGCGCAGATGACAGGGATTTGACTTACACTGGAGATCTTAGCGGATTCTTGGCAAACTCCAACAAAATTATAAATTAGTTTGTTCATAATAAAATTAATGCAAGACCAGATACCGCCGCCGTAATGGAAATGACTTCGACACGATACTGGCGCATTTTTGTGTGAGGCTCCTTGCGTACGTATTATGCGCTTCTGGTTATTGACTGAATCAGTCTTTTTGGGTTTCTGAAACTCGATTTTGAATCCACAGCTATGAGAAACGATGTTATCAAAGAGATTGAAAGATTTTTGATGAAAGCAGGCTAAGCCCGCCCATTTTTTGTATCTCCAAAGGTATTAGGTTGATGCATAATTCTTGCAAAAGTCAATTTTTTTCAAACAAAAAAAATAATTTTATTGTGCATGGATTTCAATCAACAGAAAAATCACCATCATGATCCATGACATATGTCCAGCGCTTCACCAGATTTTCAATTCCTGAAGTCCAGAGTTGCGGCGGTTGCGAGTCGAAAAGTGCGCGATTTATTTTCGAACTGGGTCTGATCAACGAATTTTTTCTCTCGTAAATGCAATTTCAACGCCCGGAACAAGTTGTAGTCAGACGGTGCCAAGTCCGGAGAGTAAGGTGATTGGAATAGGATTTCCCATCCGAGCTCCTCAATTTTTTGGCGAGTGAACTTTGCTACATGCGGGCGGGCGTTGTCATGAAGTAAAGCAACACCGTCGATTTTCGCTCGAAGCTGATTGCCTCAGCCAGATTCTGTAGCTGAGTAGAGTAGGTCTGAGCAGGCACGGTGTGCACGGGTGGTAGCAGCTCCCAGTACAACATTTCCTCGGAATCCACCAACAACATAACAAAACTTTTTTTCGTGAAGTTCTCCTTTCGGCTCTTTTATTGGTCGTTCTCCAAGCGGAGGCCAACTTCTCTTTCTTGTGTGGTTAACATATAGTACCCAACTCTCGTCTTCAGTAACGATCGAGCGAAGAAAGTCCTTCCTGTGTGGACGGAGAAGCAAAGACTGACATACGCTTACTCTAGTGACGAGGTGAAAACCACTCACTTCGTGAGGAATCCACATCGACAGCAATTTCCTGTAACCCAGCGCATGCCTGACAATTGTCGATTGGTTGCATCGAAGTATCGTGGACAGTTCACGTGTAGTAGAATTTGAATTCTCTTTCAGCGCCTTGCGCAAAGCATCATCGTTGAAGTCTGCCGAGCGACCAGGATGGGGTCGATCTTCGACCTCGGTATCTCCAGATTCGAAACGATGAAAACGGTTGACAGTCCAGCGGGTAACCACATCCTCCTTGAACGCAGCACGGATGTTTACCATAGCTTCGGATGCCTTGTGGCCTCGGAGGAATTCGTAATACACGATGGATCGAGTTTGGCTTTGACTTAACAGAGACATTGCTGGATAGCAATGAAAAAGCGTGGGCTCATATACCGCTTTGATAAAAGCTCCTCTTAGGTCACTCCAGCGTGACGTATTAGGTTGTCCCGAAAGTTTTGTCGGTTTTTTCAAACCGCTATAAAACTACGCACAATAAAGGCCTGAACGAGTTTCAACATGCATTCGATGCAGCTATTCCACTTTCTTAAGATCACATTTCCAAGCCACAATCCTGTATGCTTTTTTGATAATTGCTGAAATTCCTCACACGTCAATTTTATCTGCTCAAAGTTAGGCTAATTTTTAAAAATTTCATTCCAAAGTTCCGGAAGTGGTTAAGTATGGCTCGAATAGAACAATTCTCGGACTACAAGGTGACATTTTTAGATTCTCCTAATCTGCTGTTTTTAGCTTCAAAAAATTATTTCTTTGGAGGTCTCGATTTCTGGCAAAGTCATAAAACACGCAATTGCACCAAAAACAAGAAAGCTTTTGATTTTTGCGAATTAAAACTTGATTGCTGATAAACAATAATTATGCAACATAATCAAGTTTGATTTGCTTGGAAAAATCAGCTTTTTGGAATTTTCGATACTCTTACGTGGTAGACGATCAAAAAGCCGCGGTTTTTCTTAAATAAAAATTATAACTGACTTGATAAACGTGGCCCATGTAATCTAATATAAGCACTATGTAGCCAAAGATTTGCTCTACATGATCGTTACTACCGCTCTCTAAAAACATCAGGATAAAAAATTTTCAAATTCAAAAAGGATTTGGCGTTACTGCTGAACTGGCCATAAGGCCATGGCGTAACATGGCAAAGACAGAGTAGATCAGAGAGCAAACATAACTGTAAGAAAGAGTATTGAAATCTGAACCAAATGATACCTGAATCGTCCATGGATTAGTGTTCTGTGGGTTTCAGTGAGCGATGAAAGAAACCGACAAAACTTTTGGGACAACCTAATATTATAAAAAAAATTTAAATTCTCCCCTGTAAAGATTTACGGCGAAAAATCAATTTTGGTGCAGGAATTATGCATCAACCTAATAGATGTGAGCTTGACATCTAAGGATTTGCTCCAAATGTTTTTGATTTTTGTTTAATCGAAGACTGTGCATTTCTAAGATGTAGAACCATGCAACTTGTTGCGTAGCAGTACTTCGCGCTTCAATATTGCAAATTATTCGCCCCAAAAATTTGAGATAGGGACCAAAACGACATTAGAATCGTATTTATGACCAGTCTGTTGTTCTAATATGTGGACGTCAATAATCAAGGGCAGTGTTGGCTGTTTTTAGAACAAGTTTTTTGTAAGTCAGTTCTTGTGAATTTCTTTTGCGTCTCACTTAGAAATCATACAAACGGAAGTTCAAAGGACGAGACTTAGTGTGTAAAAGAGGGCAAGGCAGTGTATGCCGCCGTCGTTATATTACGAGAAGCAATTTGAAGAAGTTTGGATGGTTTAAAATCTACTCATTGTGTAGAAAGATTTTTATTGCTCTCTCATACTCGTTTTACAAGCCTTCAACGTCCCTCTACGACTACAACCCATCCGTCATCTTCGTCTGTCGAGACTGTTGTAATTGCTGCTTGTGGAGTAGCTATAGGAAACAGCTCACATATTAATATTCCACTCAGTCACTAGTAACTATAACATTAACTTACTGGTAGTGGTAGTGGCGGGATCCTGATCACAAAGTCCGTAGGTGGTATCGCAATTCACGTCTGTTTCTTTGATAACTTTCTTGCAGGGTCCAGGTTTTTGACATCCAGCATTATTTTTCGAATCTGCCCAGTAAAGCGGTTCACCTTCCTTTGGCCTACAAAATCTCAATTTTTTATGTATGTTGGGGAATGATGTGTACATATGTAGTATTTGCTTTGTATCGTTCATCCTTGTTTTAAGTTGTGTTTCGATCCCTAGTGACTTGTTATGTTAGATTCAAACTCTTCCCCATAAATTTTCCGCCTGTTCCCATAGAGATCTCCTAAGTGCCTGGTACCGAGTGGTACGTTCTCAGAGGCGTGTGTATATATATACACTGGATTCATTCGCTATTCTGATCAGCTAATAAACTACTGAGTATTCCACTGTGTCCGGTTCGACCCATCAAGACAAGGACTACAACAATGTAATATGCTACAATAAAAGCAGATGGCACTGACGAGGCGTGAGTTTACGCTAAGAATTGAAAAATATTTCACGATTTTGATGAGCGACATCCCGAGCTCTTATTCCTTGACTCGAAGTAGATTGCTTACCTTTTATCATACACGCACGCAAGAGCAACTTTGCTCGTTTCGTTACAGAATAGAAATGAGCAGCCAAAATTCAGCGTCTTGTTGTAGATCATCTATGAATGTAGAAAAACCGAACCTTGATTCGCAATGAATAACGGAAGGCAGCAAAAGCTCACATTAGCAAATGGTTCCATGGAGGTGTCAGTATACACCACGTCTGAGCTCAAAGGTTCTTCTACCGTATCCGTCCAGTCTTCCACCGCAAAAGCAAAAAGTTCCTTTTGTTTACTCGCATTTGGTTTCTTAGCCAGTCTATATCTGTAAAAGGGTAGTCACATTTTGTTCTCGCTCAGCTGTTGTTGACACCATACGTAATAAAGTTTTCGGCTCTTCCAATTTTGTCCATGTAAATGCTGGAATGCTTGCATTTGTTTCCAATGGTTGCCTGTGCAAATCCTTCGTTTGTACAATCATACTTCTGCAATGAGTGCACTAAATTTCAAGGTGCGACCTCTGTGTTGTCAACTAAATAATGCCGAAAGACAGCTGAGCAGCAGAAATTAATCATATGCAACATAGTCTAGGCATGTCTTTCACTCAAATTTTCATGCTTATACTTACCAGCTTGAATAGAGTTTTTATCCTGGTATGTCTCCAAAAATTGCAGTGCTCAGGTTGCGCTTGGCAACGTTTGCTCTGAGCTCATTGTGAGAGTTTGTGACAGCCTCGATCACGGCTGCATTGAGTTTGCAGGTGGCGGTGGCTGAAATCGACAATACGCTAACTTTCTTCATTTCCCAGTGGGAGATAAGAAGCCCGTCAAAAGTCGAAATCCTAATTTCGATACCCTGAATTCTTACCCGCATCTTCTATATGCAGAAAGACTGCCAATATCTGAAAACATGGTCTAAATCGGGAAATTATTTATGTCTGAAATATTACCAGCAGCAACATCATCGTGCTATTTTTGCTACCCAGTCTTGGATCTAAAGAAAGCAAATCTTATATAGAAATCAAAAATCTAAAATATACAAGCTAAACTGCACTGTCTCCTAATCAAATACAAATTGGAACCTCCTGGGATTGGCGAAAAGTGTAAAAATTTTCTATGCCTATTGATAACTTTGTGAGTAACGGAAAATATCAAAAGGAAGAAAGCAGGTGTGACTTCTGGCAAAAACACAAGGCATATATACCTTTCGAGTACGCAAGGACTATGATAATGTATATTATGAGCCCATCCTCACACTCGTCCTCCACTGTCATCTATTTGCTTCCTTTTTCGAAGCGCTATTGACATGCTAAAATCTAATTCACGACATTTTTCTTGAAGAAAATAGAAATTATGGTAACTACATACGAAAATGAATTTGCTGTTTGATTAATTACATTCTTTGCATACTCAAAAGTTATGTTTTATACTGGATAGTAAATTTTCAATGAAAAGCTCTTTGTATCTTTATTGGTGACGTTTCGGGTTCTCATGAAACCATTATCAGACCTTAAGTTACAATATGTGCAATCCTAAGAAGAGAGAAACGTAAACAGAGCGCAGTCGTACCTCATGAGGGAGGTAAGGGGAGCGGATAAAGCTCGCTAAGTTGCAGGAGGAGACGTCCGCGTGGTACAGTGCTGTTAGTAATGAATGAAATGTATTCTCCTTTTATGGGCTTGTTGATCAACAAATCAGTATGAAGGATTTATCCATTTCTTCTCTTTTTTTTTATTTTCGGCTAGTGTTTCCTAACTCCATAAGCCTCCATAATCTTTTTCTCCAGAGTGTTTACTTTATTGCGATTTAAGACTGTTATCTTGAAGTTTGGGACTGCTTCCATAATGTGCTTCGAAGTCCTGTGCTTAGAGAAGCTTTTGTTAGGATAAGAAGCAGGCTGAATGAATGAATGCTCTTCTGTGTTCGTTGAGACGGAGTCAATGGCCTTCTGGTTTCGCCAATATACTGTTCTCCACATCTTCACACGTAATCATGTATACAGTATCACGTAAATGACAAGTGGGTTTTTCCACGCAGTACGAACATTGGTTGTATACGCACTTCCTTTCATCGTGTGCACGTTAGAATTTCCTTCAACGACGGTAGTGGTAGAAATATAAACCTGACTGGCAATCCAGACTTCTGTACTACTTTGTTCAATGTTCGTGCAGGCTTATCTTCTATGTATGATACTGCCAGCGGAACACCGAAACTTGAGTAAGGCTTCCAGGTATTTACTACGTCGACCGAACTATAACCGTTATCTTCGAGAATAGCGTTGATCTGGTTGTCCACTTCGAAATCCGGAGACGAGCATAATTTCTTCTTTGTTCTTAAGATGTTTCGTACCACATTGGCCTTCACATAGATCGGGTGTGCGCTTCGCGAGTTTGTATGATATTAGATGAGGCAGGCTTTTTGAACCATCGAAAAACCTGCTGAGCCAACACAACCTTTGTAGGAACACGTTTTCTATCCTCTTACGATATGTAGCAATTCATCAACATGCTGTGCATGCGTCTATCGAATTTCTTTTGACATGCAAAAATCTGCGCACGTATCCCCACTTTATTGAAAACGCAGTCTAATTTTCTTATTCCACCAATCACTGCGTAAAAGCTGAAATATTTGCTTTAAAGAAAGCTTTGCTAGAGGCAGCACTGGCTCAAAGAAGTATACAGAAAAGAAGATGTATACGCAGTTCAGTGAAGTATAGACCGCAGCTCAATCGACAATTTGATTCCGATAAAAACATTTGTTACACTAGTGTGCTCAAAGTTACGGCAATCGGAAGGAAGTCGCCCCAATAAGAAACTGACCAGTCTGTAGATAACATCATCCATAAATGGGTCATTTTCAAAAATATATGCGGTACCTCCCAAAAGATTTATAGCAATTGGTACGAAAGAAATCGACGATGTTAATGGCAGCCGCTAGTTTAGGACCGTCTTTTGTTGTAATGCCAAAAGTGAATGAGTCCATCATAGACAAAGCATTTTGTGCAGTTGGCCAGTATGCCTACCGATTGCGCCACAGGTTGTAAAATGGACCTACGGTACCAGATCACGTATTATTCTGTCGACACTCTTTTCATTAATGCCTTTCTAGCATAATCCATCAAAGCTACCAAAACCAGTGCCGAAGGACGAAATTATGTGAATTGAAACTTGACGTTTGACGTATTCACGAAAGCGAAATGATGCATTATATAGGGTGTCCCAAAAGTAAGTACACACTTTTCAATCGTGAATATCTCTCTCAATGGGTCTTTTTTTTGTGATTCAGGTGCCATACTGTAAAGGAGGCTTCATCTTAGATTTACAGTATTGAAAGAATCACCGATCGCTCTTCGTTACGTAGGAATACGGTAAGAACTTCCAGCATGTGGAACCACTGTGAAATATGCCATCTGACGAAATTTTTTTCAAAAAGTCTGAAAAATCGTCTATTGGAGTTTTCGCACACGCTGATTCCAACACACAACTTTTTACGAGTGTTTTCAGCTTTTTTGACGGTGTAATCACATTTCTGACAAAATTGGGGATTCGGTTATTACGGTTTACCTGGGATAACTTGGGAAAGAAGCATCACAGTAAACTAGAAGTTTCATAATCGAAATCGGCGGCTTCGATTACCTAGTATAAGAATTTACGGCTTGTTTGGTTTTGTTTCGAGGCAGACTTGGCCTCCAATGGCCTGAAAATCCTTGTCGAAGTTCCCACCGTAATCCTACAGTAAAGAAGAAATCTAAGATGAAGCCTCCTCTACAGAATGGTGCTTAAATGGCGGAGAAAGAGACAACGTGAAGAAAGATATTGACGATTAAAAGTGTGTACTTAGGGACATCCTGTAGCTCAAATATCACTCCATCTGAGAGGAAAAGGTCTTCGAAAGCTCATAAGAATAAAATCAAAACCACGGTATACCATTGAAGATAAAAATGGTTTTTTCGTCCTAATGCCATTAAAAATGGACAAAGAAGCCACTTATCAAGCCCTTTCCGACTCCAATACATATTTTCAAACTACTACGTCGTCTTTTTTCGATTCATACAACAACGAGATGCAATAACACATTGTGTAAAGAATTAGTAAGATTAAGATACCAGAATAGCGGATCAGCTTCTAAAACGTCATCCAGCAATATCAACTTTTTCCATTTTGATCAAAACGCATAAATTGCCGCATAACGTTGATGCGGATTCTCGGTCAGTGATTGATATAAAAAACTAGGCCAATCATCTTACTGTGGAGGACCAGCTCACAGAATGAGTTGGCTACTTGTCAAAATTCTATCGCCTTTGCTTCAATTCGTGCAGCTCACATCATCAACGTAGAAACGTTTCTATCAGATCTCTTACAATGCAAGTTGTCAAATTCCGTATCCTATGCAAGTTTTGATGTTGTCTCTCTGTAAATAAACGTGGATGACAATGGTGCTATCAACGCAGTGCTGAGTTTCTTGGAAAAAAATGAATACAATGTCCCAACGTTTGGCTTCGACCGTGATGGCATACGTTTCATGTTAAATGCGGTGCTTTCACGCAGTACTTTCTGCTTCGATACGAAGATGTTTAGGCAAAAAAGAGGACTTGCAATGGGTAATCGCATTGCAATAATGTTGCAATCATATATCTGGCATATCGAGAGAGTCACTCTGACATAAGATACTATCCTGTATAAAAGTTACGTGTATTATGTTTTCATCATTATTGCCACTGAGAAAGATGTCGAACCGATGTTTGAGAGAAACTCAGTAATGTCAACGACAACTCTTTCACTGCGGAGAAACCTGATAATGTCGGCTATGTACCTGCCGTTTCTGAATATCAGAGTAAGGACTCGTGAAGGTCATCCTGAATATCGATGGTTCAAAAAGCCTGCCTCATCTAATATCATACAAACTCGCGAAGCGCACACCCGATCTATGTGAAGGCCAATGTGGTACGAAACATCTTAAGAACAAAGAAGAAATTATGCTCGTCTCCGGATTTCGAAGTGGACAACCAGATCAACGCTATTCTCGAAGATAACGGTTATAGTTCGGTCGACGTAGTAAATACCTGGAAGCCTTACTCAAGTTTCGGTGTTCCGCTGGCAGTATCATACATAGAAGATAAGCCTGCACGAACATTGAACAAAGTAGTACAGAAGTCTGGATTGCCAGTCAGGTTTATATTTCTACCACCACCGTCGTTGAAGGAAATTCTAACGTGCACACGATGAAAGGAAGTGCGTATACAACCAATGTTCGTACTGCGTGGAAAAACCCACTTGTCATTTACGTGATACTGTATACATGATTACGTGTGAAGATGTGGAGAACAGTATATTGGCGAAACCAGAAGGCCATTGACTCCGTCTCAACGAACACAGAAGAGCATTCATTCATTCAGCCTGCTTCTTATCCTAACAAAAGCTTCTCTAAGCACAGGACTTCGAAGCACATTATGGAAGCAGTCCCAAACTTCAAGATAACAGTCTTAAATCGCAATAAAGTAAACACTCTGGAGAAAAAGATTATGGAGGCTTATGGAGTTAGGAAACACTAGCCGAAAATAAAAAAAAAGAGAAGAAATGGATAAATCCTTCATACTGATTTGTTGATCAACAAGCCCATAAAAGGAGAATACATTTCATTCATTACTAACAGCACTGTACCACGCGGACGTCTCCTCCTGCAACTTAGCGAGCTTTATCCGCTCCCCTTACCTCCCTCATGAGGTACGACTGCGCTCTGTTTACGTTTCTCTCTTCTTAGGATTGCACATATTGTAACTTAAGATCTGATAATGGTTTCATGAGAACCCGAAACGTCACCAATAAAGATACAAAGAGCTTTTCATTGAAAATTTACTATCCAGTATAAAACATAACTTTTGAGTATGCAAAGAATGTAATTAATCAAACAGCAAATTCATTTTCGTATGTAGTTACCATAATTTCTATTTTCTTTAAGAAAAATGTCGTGAATTAGATTTTAGCATGTCAATAGCGCTTCAAAAAAGGAAGCAAATAGATGACAGTGGAGGACGAGTGTGAGAATGGGCTCATAATATACATTATCATAGTCCTTGCGTACTCGAAAGGTATATATGCCTTGTGTTTTTGCCAGAAGTCACACCTGCTTTCTTCCTTTTGATATTTTCCGTTACTCACAAAGTTATCAATAGGCATAGAAAATTTTTACACTTTTCGCCAATCCCAGGAGGTTCCAATTTGTATTTGATTAGGAGACAGTGCAGTTTAGTTTGTATATTTTAGATTTTTGATTT